AGTTGGACATTCCGGTTTTTATACTGCTTTTCTTTAATTCACTAACGCTCTAAAAATGAATATTTCAGCCGCAGTAAAGAATCAACGTTGGCGGACTTTCTTTTCAGGCAATTGCAGTTAGAGTGCAAAGAAGTGTAGACACTGTGGTTAGGTGTTGTCAGGCATGGCTTCGAGAAGGCCGTACGCAAAGAGCAAGGGGCACTGGACGCCGCCGTAGAACAACAGACCGTGAAGATCGCCGCCTAAGATTATTGGCCTTAAGGGACCGTTTCTCCACCACCAGGTCCATTGCAAATGAATGGTTTGCAGAACACGGAAGACCTATTGGCATGCGAAGTGTTTACCGACGTATGAGAAGTTTTGGCTTGTTTTCATACCGGCCACACTGGGTCCTCCCTTTAACTCGAGAACACCGACGTAATCGCCTTGAGTGGTGCAGACAACGGTCACTCTGGGATCAGGAATGGAACAGTATTGTCTTTAGTGACGAGTCTCGATTTTGTTTAGGCATGCACTATGGTCGTGCCAGGGTTAGAAGGCGACGTGGTGAAAGGAGGAATCCACAGTTTTTTGTTGAAAGACATGTTCATCACACTGTTGGAGTTATGGTTTGGGGTGCTATAGCTTATGGTTCCAGGTCACCTTTAATCTTCATCAGAGGTAACATGAACGCGCAGCGTTATATCCACGAAGTTCTAGAACCCCATCTTTTACCCTATCTTGACACTCTGGCAGATCCAACTTTCCAACAAGATAATGCCCGACCACATGTTGCAAGAGTCACAATAGACTTCTTTCAACATAATGATGTCACATTGTTACCACGGCCACCAAGATCTCCCGACTTATCCCCAATTGAGCACGTGTGGGATATGATGGGTAGGAGATTGCTCAATTTGCAACGTCCTCCTCAGACTCTAGAAGCACTTCGAGATGAGTTGGTGGTTGCCTGGAATGAGATACCACAGGAGGACATTGACCACCTGATCAGAAGCATGCCTGGGCGCATTGGAGAATGCGTAGCACATCAGGGTGCATCCACACATTATTAAAGGTCAAAGGGCTTTAAAGCAGTGCAATCATTTTGAAATTTTTATCATATACTTATTATGCTTCATTAAGTACTTATACAAAATTTTATTAAAATAAAACCATTTAAACTGGGTGTTCGGATTTATATGTCACTTAGTATATTTACAATAGCATACAAGTTTATCAATGATATGGTTCTCAAAACTTAAAATTGTGTCCAGTAAAATTTCTAGATTCTTTGTCTCCTCTACAATTTCAACAGCTGTATCGCCTAAAACAATGTCTGTACTCATACATTCTTTAAATTTAGAAAAATTTAACCTTGAACCAATGCATCAAACTTTAGTTTATGAAGGATTCAATAATTTTAGAATAGTTTGTAATCATTTCTAGATTCATATTTAATTCGAAAATCGATGACTTAACTGACTACTACTACATGGTAGACGAACAAATCTCAGAAGTGGGATGTGTACGTACCAGAGCGAAGCAGCGTTCCAACCGAGAGTAAGTTCACAGCCTCCCGAGCGTTTGACGGCACATAGAAACATATGACTATCGCGTGTCGTTAAAACGTCACGGCCGCCGTCGATGGCGTCACACGACAACTTCTTCGACGAAGTCGCGCGGCACGGATGGCGCGTTTTCGTGACGGCCTTCGAGACACTGACGGGCTGACGGCGGTTTGCACCCCGCATCCGTCGGTCGCATAGCAACCGCCCAGCCATACCACGCCTACCGAGATGTGAACGACGCGGCAGCGGCGACTTCAGATTGACAGGTGCGTGTGACGGCTCCGTAACGTCCTGGACGAGGGAAGTGGAGTAGGTTGTGTAGCAGTCGATGGTCATGATGGGGATACCGCGAAAACTCTTACATATCCGACTCTAACAAGTGGTTGAAGGTGACGACATCGTCACGGTTTTCTGCAAGACGCTGCGCTGGTAGAAAGACGGTGTCCAGATCAATATTTCGCTTAACTATAATTTCAGTAGGGGAAACGATGATGAATACTCGCGTGATAAGGCGAATAATACTGCTTGCTGATAAGTGAGATCATACAAAATGTGAGAACCGCAGGGTATTATGTAAAAAATGTCATCTTGCAGACCAGCTGGTTTTAATGTGCGGATAGTTCATTTCACTATGATCGCTGCGAGCGTCATCTAACGCGTCCATCTACGGAGGCACAACTCAACGACACGAAACGCTCAAGCATGCATTGTTGGTTGCAGAAGGCCAAGTAATGTTTATCTCTGAATCAATGATATTTGCTATGTGAGAATATGCTGCCCGACAGTTAATTATATTGTCCTCAGGTTATGTTCAAAGTTATGCTGCCCGATGGGTTGTTTATCTTGTTTTTAGGTTATTTTCAAAGTTGCAAATTACGATTTTTCCTGTTTTTTTGAGTTTCCAAAAACTTTGCGGACAATTACGGGAAATCGCCACCGCACTTGCGTTGTGTGTAATTACTGTTAGCATGTATATGACTTCTAATTCGACACTGTACAGTAAATATAAATCAATAAATCTTAAAAAGTACTGAACTGAAGCTCAGTTATTTTACTTCATTATAAAGGGAATTGATAGACCTCTAAACTAAGGTAACACCTTTTCATTTAAGATTTTAGGGTTGGTGTCACCGCCGCCCAGGAAGCTGCACGTGTTAACGTGATTTTTTGCCAAACTTGTGTTCCCCTTGAAAACAAAATCGACGGGTCTGCGCGTTTTTCAAAAAAAAACTGACCTGCTAGTAAATGCGTCTGTTTCGTTTTCGATGCGCCACCCTGTATGTAACCCCCTGTCCCCGTTTTTCCATCGTCACACGATCACAAGAACATTCGCTCTCAGAAATCCCCCTACCTCAAAATGTCCCACTGGATCCGCTTGCTGTGAATGAACTTGTATTTTCGTTCAGCAACCCCCCTCCCGTACCCCCAGTTTCGATGAATTGTTGATTCTTATTTACTGGCGCTATGTCTGTTCTTATACGGTACAGCGTTCCCGATGTCGGACACTCAAAGTCAGTACCACTGGCCCCTTCTTGGATAAGGTAGTTGGTAAGTGCACCGTCTAGAGTCAGATCCAGAAATCATCTGCAGAATTTAAGTATCTTCTATCTGCATTGAACTCCGGGCAGAGAATGGCGCTCATCAATAGCTTATTCAGGTCTTTCTATGAACTCTTACCCCTTTTTTGAGAGGGGGATCATACAGCTTGCTACATTACGTCTGTGGTTAATTAACCAATTATGACATTGAAAAAATGGTCTCCAGAGCAAGGAAGTCCTCTAAGACAGAGTTCCCCAAGCTTTTTTGTGTCGTAGAGCCCTTGCCATGTTTTTCCGTGTTGGGTAGACCCCCTACTTACCTGATATTGATTTCCTGTAAATTTCTAACTGTAGTGCAGTTTACTGTTAAGTAAAAACACCTGTTAATTTATACATTTATTATTTGAGTTTAAATTAAAACTACTCAAAATAAAATTTTGTATCTGTTATGTAAAATATACGTAACATTAAATAAACAGGTGTCTGACCAATAAGTGCCCGCATCGGGAATAAGTGCCCGCATTTTCAGAATAATTAAAAAAAAAAATTTTTCTATAAAGGGGGGTTCTTTAAAAAAATCAATGTGGGCACTTATTCCCAATGCGGGCATTTATTGGTCAGAAACCAATAAACATAAAATAAACTATAAATAAAATAACATAAGCAATAAGTCAATATTTTTAGTGAGAAGGATGAACCTGATGCTTTAATAATAAATTATCAACATTTGGCGTCAATTTTGTAAGGGTTAATCTTAAATCTCCTCGGCTAATGATGTCCAGTCTGTTTCTTTTTTTCGTTAGGAGACTGGTAACAGCGCTGAACCCCCTTTCCACTAGGTATGACGATGGAAAGGAAATTAAAAATTTCCTCGCTATATTCCATAATACGGGATAAGTAACGGGTATGTTGTTTTGCAGCCAGAATTGTTGATATCTGTTTCTAAACTGAACCTTAAGTTCTTCGTTTGTACTTAGTTCAGTCAGTTCCTCTTGTATTATGACATTCGTTTCTTCTATGTCACCATATGGATTAATTATCCACGGTGGTATTACCATAGTCAAAATATCCTCAAACCTAGATTCAAAATCTGAATAGAGGGCATTTAAATGTTGAACGTAAGTTGGAACGTCGTCTTCTTGGCAGCTTGTCTGTGACAAATTGGGGAACTGAGAAAATTCGCCCCGTCCAATATTTTGCTTCATTAGTTTAACTCTGGCAAGAAACGCTGATAAGATGGACTTTGTTTTAATCAAATTTAAACTGTCGCCTTGTAATTGCAAATTAACCATATTAAATTTTGTAAACAAATCTGTTAAATAGGCGATGCCTGTTTTCCTCTTCATTAAATTTTCTTTTAAAATTATATCTTCAGTATCCAGAAATTCTAAAATAGTCTCAAAAAGTGCAAAAAATCTTGTCAAACATAAGCCTTTCGACAGCCAGCGTACTTCAGTGTGAAGGAGTAATTGATGAAAGTGTTCGTCATTTTCTTCACACAACTGCGCAAATAACCGCGTATTCAACGCGTTGCTTCGGATTCGGTTTACTGCATCAATGACTAAATGAAGTGATTCATGCAATCTAACACTCAAATTTTTAGCAACTAAATGTTGTCGATGGATGACGCAATGTATTGCTAACACCCCTGACACATTTTGTTTTAAATAGCTCCATCTGTAGCTACTGATATTATATTTGATAAAGGAATTGCTTTTTCAATGAAGTAATCCTTCAAAACATGAAATATTGATTCACCTTTAGTGTCGGTTATCAAAGTTCTTGCGAATAGCAGTTCTTCGTAGATTTCTTGATTCATAATGAAACGAACATATGCCAATAATAATGCTGCACTTATCAGGTAAAGTTGACTCGTCCAGTTGTATACAGAAATGGGACGTTTGCAAATAATTACATAAGAAGCTTTCAATATCAGAACTCATTTCATCAATACGTCTTTCAACAGTATTGTTGCTTAAGGGAATTCTTTTAATGATATCAGATGCAGGTTTGTGTAAAACAGTTTTTAAAACCTCTTCAACGGCTGGCAAAACTAACTTCTCTCCGATAGTATGCGGTTTTCCGGATTTTGCTATAATTAACGAGATATTGTAAGGCGCCCGCAAACCATCATCATTTCTTTGTGACGTCGAAGCGAACATTCTGTCCAGTGTAGGTCTCTTCTGAAATTTATCTTTGAGTGTTTGAAAGTATTTCAAATCTTTCTCTGTTTTATCAGGGTGGCATCTTCTCAGATGATCTTGCAGTTTAGATGGTTTCATAGCGTCATTGCCCAAAACTTTGTTGCATAAAAGGCACATAGACGATTGTTTGTCCGGCAATGATGGAATGAAGCCAAATTTCAAATAATCAACACTGTGCTGTCTACATTTCTTTTTAGATTCGCACATGGCATCAGTCATCTGTGGGCAACAATTAGCTCGAATTACGGAGATTTCTCTGTAATTATATTACCGATTGCTAAAACTTTCAAAAAGAAACTATTGAGGAGTACTCGTGTAGTTTTGCATTATTGAATATTTAACTACTAATAACTAAGTCATGATTGGCGTAATTTATCTATCTTTGCTAACTACGAGTACAAAACTAAAATTTAATAAAAAATACTGTACTTACTTTTCTCCAGCACTCTTAAACAAAATAACACTGACTCACTATAATTTGTGTGATATACTATCTGTTTATATTATTAAAAATATTTCTTAGCACTTTTCAAGATTCAGGAAACGAATAAACGTATTTGTCCCACATTCGTATTTATAGAGTGACGAATTGAACAAGTCAGTGCAAGGTAGCGAAGCTCTGAGACTGCGACTCTCAGGTTTTTACAAGTTCAAAATGTATTGCGACCACAAAGCGAATACCAACATCCTACAACTTACACAATTTTATAAACATATATAATAAATTTTTTACTTCATAGGTACTTTTATAAATAATGTATATGTTTTGATATTATAAGATAGGATGATGTAAGTAAACAGGTACTATCGTGGACCCCCATATTTATTTCATGCACCCCCAATTTTTTTGTCCCTGACGCAGACCCCTTGCAGGTTGTCATAGAGCCCAAGGGGTCGATATAGACCACTTTGGAAATCAATGCTCTAAGACATAGTTGCTTTCACCAGAAGTTAGAAATCACACAAGAAAATCACTGAATATTAAAAGTGTTCATATTGTTCAGATCTTGATTTGACAAAAAAGTACGGCTCGGGATGCCTTCAACATTTTATCGACGTATACTTCCAAGATAGCGAATATGTCTACAAGTTTTTATCAAAATTCAATAAATTATTCTGGGTGTTGCATTTTGTATGTCACTACCTGGAGAGCTCGTTCCTAACTCAAGCAACACAAGTTATTTATTCACGAGTAAGATAGATACGTCAAACATTTGTTGGCAATCGATAAATGTCCATGTCTTCTTTTTTTTTTGGTCACGAAGGCTCCCGCATGAATTTTACATCGATGTTGAAGAGCAGTAGATGTTATCCCGAATAATAGATCGTATTTGTTGGCTGTTGCATAAAATAAGGATTCTGGAAAGAGAAATCAATGATAGTCGCTGGATTTTACGATCTAGAGGGATTTTTTATGTGGCTGATCGTGTATTTTTATCGGGTTGTTTCGTGAGCCCGTAAGCGGCACGTTTTCAAAGAGATACAAACTGTAGGATATAACTGAAAATGTGAAATACTGAGGATGGTGCATACTGGGTGAGCCATCTATTACTTTTTGTTTATCTATAAGTTTATGTGTTACCATGTAAGTCAAAAGTCATGTGGTATGTATAAGTGAACTGTCAGAGGTATGCCATTTATAGTCATGGATTCGTTTACAACACAAAAACACATAAAATATACTTTTCGCAAACTTCGCACCAGTTTTGGCCTACATGGACGCCCTACAGAGCCTGGAATTCGTTGGATTGTCAATCGTTTTGAGGAAACTGGTTCAGCTGAAGGTCGTAGACCATACCAACCTCTCCATCCTGAAAAAGTGACTGTTTGGTGCGGATTATCGGCTGGTGACATCGTTGGACCATTCTTCTTTGAAGATGCCGAAGGAAAGGCCATTACCGGCAACGAGGAACGTTATCGCGGCATGTTAACAGACTTTTTTTATTGGATGCCACTGGACAAAATTGGTTTATTAATTTTTGCTAAGAACATCACAAGTGTCTTGTAAAACAAAAAATTAAAAAAATGTCTTGGAAAGAGTGTTATTGCAACTTTTCCAATAGGCACCATGACATAAAAAGTACACTACAACGCATATTTGAAATGTCACTCGACGAATCTCTATTTCTTATTTCTTCGCAATCAAGTTCCAGCAAGCAGTATTTGAAGCAGTCTCGTGTTTTGTGCGTTGATTCTTTGAGAAGGCAAAAATTGGCACTCTCCTATACTAAGTGACATATAAATCCGTACACCCAGTTTAAATGGTTTTATTTTAATAAAATTTTGTATAAGTACTTAATGAAGCATAATAAGTAAATGATAAAAACTTCAAAATGATTGCACTGCTTTAAAGCCCTTTGACCTTTAATAATGTGTGGATGCACCCTGATGCATTCTCCAACGCGCCTAGGCATGCTTCTGATCAGGTGGTCAATGTCCTCCTGTGGTATCTCATTCCAGGCAACCACCAAGTCCTCTCGAAGTGCTTCTAGAGTCTGAGGAGGACGTTGCAAATTGAGCGATCTCCTACCCATCATATCCCACACGTGCTCAATTGGGGATAAGTCGGGATACCTTGGTGGCCATGGTAGTCTATTGTGACTCTTGCAACATGTGGTCTGGCATTATCTTGTTGGAAAGTTGGATCTGCCAGGGTGTCAAGACAGGGTAAAAGATGGGGTTCTAGAACTTCGTGGATATAACGCTGCGCGTTCATGTTACCTCTGATGAAGAATAAAGGTGACCTGGAACCATAAGCTATAGCACCCCAAAGCATAACTCCAACAGTGTGATGAACATGTCTCTCAACAAAAAACTGTGGATTCCTCCTTTCACCACGTCGCCTTCTAACCCTGGCACGACCATCGTGCACGCCTAAATAAAATCGAGACTCGTCACTAAAGACAATACTGTTCCATTCCTGATCCCAGAGTGACCGTTGTCTATATAGTGTATATGTGTATATAGGTCATTGATAAAGTAAGTAAATAGACTTCAAGCGATGACTGAGAAATATTTCACAATTACTTCCAGCAGCAGACCGACGATTTACCAGACACTGCTTCCCAAGAATTAATCAATTTTTACAAAAACAATGTAAACATTAACGATTCCCTTAGCTTTAAACTGTTAGACAGGGCCAGTCTACTCAAAATTGTAACTAATATTTCATCAGATGCCATTGGAGAGGATGGTTTCTCTATGAGAGACCTAAAGTTATATATCCCATTTTGTACGAATGCCTTGCTGAATATAATCAACACATGTATTTTGGGGGGATTATTTCCAGAAATATGGAAGAAAGCTATTGTTAAACCCTTACCAGAAATAGCAGAACCTAGAGAATTTACAGACTTGAGGCCTATTAGCATATTACCTGCTACATCCAAAATTTTAGAAAGGCATATTTATAATCAAATTAGGTTTTTTTGTGTGACACAAACGATATCATACCCAATAGTCAATCCGGTTTTAGGAAAAACTTTAGCACAAGTACATCATTAGTTAATATCTTGGATGATATCAGACATCATCAAGAACAAAAAAATAGTACGTGCATGGTTGTTCTCGATTTTAGAAAAGCGTTCGACACTCTGAATCATGAATTGTTACTAGCTAAGATACATTACCAGGGGTTTTCGCAGAGATCCGTAAATCTAATAAAAACTTACTTAAGCAACCGTTCAAACTGTGTTACGTTAGCAAATGATTCGGATATTTACAAAACCGATTTTAAACCTATAAAAAGAGGAGTTCCTCAAGGTTCAATTTTATCTCCTTTGCTATTTTCAATCTACATATCTGACATGGTCAAATCGGTAAAATTTGATCTCATTCACAATACGCGAAAAAAATGGTTAGGGAATTTCAAGAAGGCGATGAAAAATTACAAAACAACACCTCTACACAGTTTATCAAGTAAATACCATCATTTACGGACATATTTTGATCTGTTATTCAAGCTAATAAGCTAATGTGTAATAACACGTCTGGTTTTGAACCGTTTTCTAGAAAAAACAACGGTTGTTCACAGTTTCACATCTATTTTCCTTAGTACCATACAGTGTATGTTATATTCTTATAACATAGAGTTTCCTTTTGTACAAAGAGCAAAAAAAGACAGCTCATAAAACAGTATTCTGTTCTAGAGTATTGCCACCAAAAATGCAACTTCGAAGTTCTATAAAATAACAAGCAGTGGGTTCCTTAAAGAAAAAATGATATTTTCGTGAAAGTTACATCCTAAACTTTCATTCTAAAGTAAGAAATGAAGGATTGGCGATATGCGCTAAAATATAGTCTTTCCCGTTTTTCTGTTGTTCCCCGTCGAAAACCAGCAATGTAGACTACCCTGTACATTATATCTCAAGCAGGCAATGGTAACATAAAAAATCGGACATGCAATTTCCTAGGCCATTTCTACTTGGCAAAGGTCGACAGCAATGTGGAGTGAGTGATTAATTTTTGAATTAGAGCTTTCTATGTGTGCACCATACGGTACAAAAGACGCAAACACTGAGAGTAATCTGCCATACAATTACGATTAATCTCGAGCTTTCTAGGCTGCGGCACTCACCAGCAGACGTGGTTCTCATGCACAGTTTGCCTTTGCCTCCGCCACAAAAAGGCGCAATTTTCTTCTCGTTTCACTCCGGTCTACAAACGGCGCGCATAACTGTTCATTAAATAATAATTTTGCTACTGTTTCCCAAATAAACATAATTTACATAATTACTTTTTCAGCATGCGAGGTCCCAGTCCAAACAATTTTAATTATAATATTGCAGAAGATCAATTACTCTTCGAGATACTATCTTGTCGGTGTTTATTACTATAAATACTACTATATAATTTAATATTTCAATAGTTGGGCCAACTGAAGTGGGAAGGGGCTCGTAGTTATAAAAAATTTCACTTCGGTGTGTAAGAACTGTGATCTACATGCTAATTCTTTTAATAGCATTCTACCCTCTCTCAATAAGGCTTGGTAGTTTGCATTTAAGTGTTGTTTCTAGCTGTGTCTATAAATATAATGGAAGACTGTTGCTCATTTCTTCATGTGAATTTTATTGGAAGTT